CGTTGATATGTGATAGCGACCTCATGGTGTTAGCGAGGCCACCGTCAAGATAGGCGAAATGTGACCATGTTGTTGCAGTAAAATGTTGAGACTGGTGCACAGACAATGGGAAGAACAGAAAGATTGTTGATACGCCATGTCTCTAGCAATTGGGAGGCAAGGAGGGCAGGGGAGGAGATGCGCACCTCCAAATCAAATGACGGGCTATTTTTGGGCAGACACAGCAACAACGGCTGAGAAGGTGGTCATGCTCATAGTCATAGTCATGCCAACGTTGACTTAACCGGTAATAACATGCAGTATCTCAGTTGACTCTGTTTGCCTTTATCGATTTGATCATGACTTTCCTTTCTTTCCTGGACTCGTGTCAAGATACCCAAGTGTCACCATAGCCGATCCTCAACCCCCTCCACTTCCTCCACTTTACACCATAGAGTTTCACATGATGCTCCACGGTTGTACCCTTCGGAGTCCTTGCACAGCGCGGCGCCTCTCTAACCAAGGCAGAAATGCGGCTGTCAGCGAGGCGACCTCAAGTTCCAGTCTCACAAGTCTGTTTGTCCGAAAATGATCGACTTTTGTTTCCCGCTCACCTTCAGACTATGGCCAGTAATGGTATCAGGCAGGCTGGGCTGGTAACATTGGGTACATCTTGTCTAAGGGGATGGTGCTCAATCACAAAAGATTTGTCCTGGTGGTTCGCAGAGCCACCCACGTCGACAAGCATGAGGGTCGCAAGGCAATAGGCTGTCGTGGCAAACCAGCGCAGATTTGCCCTTGAATACGCCTGACGTTGGGCCGAATTACATGCTGCAGAAATACAAGGACAGAAGCGAATAAATGAAGTCGACTCGGCTTCTCCTCGTAACCGCCAGCTTCTTCTTGCTCTCTACTTGACCCATTTCCTATCATTTCCCTTTTCTTTGTCAAGTTGTTGCCGTAGTTCCGTTCAGAGGACCCTCTGGCTCTCGTCTCGTCTCGTCACCTGAGGGGCTGGACCTGCTCGGAAGGACGGCTGAGAACAACACACGGTGGGTGACAAGGTTGAGACTCGAGGCGTACCTGTCAGGTGCCCAGTGGTGGTGGCCAGGATTGAAGCTGACAGTCCGAAACAAGCAGGAATTGAGAAGTAGGAAACTGCTGCTGCTGCGGCGCCACCGCTGTTACTTTTACTGCTACTGCCTCCCTTGCTACTGCTACTCCGGCAAGGACTGCCCACTGTATCTGTCACTGTCACTGTCACTGTCACCCTCACCCTCACCGCCGCCACGGATTGACTCCTGAGGACCTGCTCCTGTTCCTCCACTTCACCATAATCAGCTTCCTCTCAATCCTTCACCCCTTCCACCTCCGAAATCCAGCCTCCCGATGCTACACACACCGACCAATCACCCCCGAGCCACTCGCCTTCTCCTACAACATTGACCAGCGTCATCGATTTCCTTACCTAGAATATCGGCTTGTCACTGGGTGCTCCTAAAGCACAGACCACGAGACCAAGATAAGACACCTCGGCCAAAGCTGAAACCTACTCGTACCTGGCTTTCAACCTGATTCCTCCACTCTCTCTCTCTCCACACTCAACAAGTCTCCGGGTGATATTTCAGCAAATACTCGGTTCATTCTGCCCTCCCCGATCCCCGACGTCCAACTTCCAGGTGCGGCAGGTCAAGGGTCTCGGGTCCCTCGCTACAGTCCAAAGACCGGACACTTGAGGGGATTCTGTCCTCTCCCCCTCGCATGACGATCCAGATTCCGTTACAACCTTACTTTCACCACACTTCTCCTACGACTTTCACTGCTTTCACCTCTTTCACCCATTATATCCTTCCAGCATCACTTTCAACGTTTTCTGTTCCGCCGTTTAGCTAGTCCTAAAGACGTACTTCACGCCGTCTGTTCACCGGATCTGCGGTGATCGCTATAGCAGCCTTCGGCCCCTACCGATACTCGCTGCGTAATCCGTGGTCAACCAAACTTGAAGCAGCGGCAATCCATCTTAGCGACAGAGACTAGTTTCTACACTTCTCCGACTTGCTGAGGCTTGTCCGAAAAATTCTCACCTGCCTGCATAGACACAGCTACCTAACCACGATAGCCAACGTTTGACAACCGTGCATGGAGTCCTTCCACCCCCAGATGTCGTCTCCGCCCCATCGGGACGGCTACAACCCATCCGGACCTCAAGCACGCTCTGACAGAGAAGTTCCCTCTCCTGAGGACTATAAGTACAAGCGTCGCAGGATCGAATTCCAGAGAAGCGCTCGCAGACACATGGCCGAATATTCACCAATTCCACCCCGCAATTCTGTGCCTACGTCGGTTCCGTCCTCAAGGGACCTGCTCGCAACTTCCCTCCAAGAGACCCCACGTTTGATGCAACCCGGCGTTTTTATGGAGGAAGATGCTGCGCTCGAGTACCTTGCTTCAGGCTCTGGCTTTGCTCAAGACTTACGTGGTGTCGACCCTCCTTTCGCCTATCAGAACCTTGCCCCTACAGGCCAGCATCAACGACCCGTCAACATGTCAAGTTTTGTGTACCAACCTGCTCTTTCGCCGGATTTAGAATTCGCTCTTGTTCGACCACTGGAAGAGTCTATTTTCCATCACCACAGAGAGTCGGACGAGCGCTTGCGAGAACCACCTGGTCATTCGGTGGAATCGTCAACGAGTTTAACGGCCAACAGCTTCGGCTATCCAGTGGACTGGCCTCAGTCTGCTGCCTTTCCCCCACGGCCAGTCGCAACTACGTCTGTATCGTCCGGGCAGGGACCACCAAGCTCGGCCACCGACTCGCAGAAACCGCCTATCATGTTGATCCTCACTCGCGCCACTACAGAGGATATCGAAGCGCTGGAATCCCACAAGAAGGAATGTCCAGCCTGCCAGCTCGAGTTTGAGAAGGATCATTTCATGGCCGTCATTACCTGTTGTAATACGCCCATTCATGCGACCTGTCTATCCGCCTGGGTTAATTCAGTGACATACTCCAAGAGCAAAGCTTGTATGAAGTGTCGTAGAACCATCGATGCGAGACGCATGTTGAACAATGTTGTTCCACCAGTCACTGACAAGTCGTGGGATGAGGGTGTCGAGTTTAAAGCACCAGAATCATTGAAAGGAGACGCCAAGATTGAGCTCAATGTTAGTGCAAAGCCAGAGCGTTCAAGAATGCGGCGAGTTGGAGGCTCGATGTATTATGCCAACTACCGATCAGCCCGATCCTTTTTGGCGCTCCCTGAGGCACTGAGTCCCGAGACCAGGAGTGCCGTCCTCCAGTTACGAGAAGAGCGAATACGCCAAAGTGATGAATTGCGAAATCAAAGTCGCGTGGCTTCATCCGACTGCAATCGTGCGAACCACGAGGATATTGCCGCCAATTCTGCACTGCTTGAGGCTCAACTTCGCGGGGAACTTGCGGATCTCACCCCATTGATCAGGAGATGCGAGAAGACCAAATTAGCAAGGGAGAAGGCAAGAGAAACGTATGACAAGGTCAAGCTGGCGCTGGACACAATGGACCGGACATATCAGCATCGGCTTAACAGCATGTTTGATGAACGGACGGAACGGTATCGCGCCAGCAGACGCGCAGAGGATGAGCCGGCTCGAAGCGCACCTTTTCGAGTGGTCAATGGAGAACCATCTGACGAGATATCTCCTTGAAGATCCAAAGTGACAAGGTTATCCAGGCGAAGAAATAGGTCTAGAGTCAACTCGGGATCTTGAACATTGACTGCTCGGCCGTCCGCTCTGCAAGGGCAGATTTCGGGAGACTCGGGAGACTGGTCTATCGACTGTTGAGGCATTACACAGCGGAACACAGGAAAGGAGATAAAGTTAGCAAGCATATTGGTACGGAGGAGATTTAGTGGACAAAGCACTAGCTTTGCACCTGCAAACCCGCCATCGACGAAGGCGGGGCGACAAAGTCGATGGATGGGCTGATCTTACCAGGGGTGGCCCATCATCAATTCACGAAAATGACGACCGGGGCAGGATTTACAACCACAACATGGACGTGGACGTACACATTTTGGCCGCAGCACAAACATCCACCAGCACTCATGATGATACGATGCATAAATTCTCAACAAAATTCGGGCTTACATTGGAGAACACGGACTCAGGCATGGGCGCACAAAGGACATATGATACATGGCTTGCTGCATTGCATCAGGGGTACTCGTCCCTTTTGCGCACCCAACATCAGGCTTGAATTCTCTGTTGCATGGGTAATGGGAAGGGAAACGACGTGACAATGGGATTGATTTTCTTTATGGTAAAGGCACGCTCGGTGGCGTCATTGTAAGTGGACATCCAAAGTCAATATCATATCACAGCGTTTGACATGGATCTTATGTACCTATGAGTTATCCATCTATCTGCTTCAGTGGCCGCTCACTTTCTCTTCGTGCATGGTGATAGTCATATCGAAACAAATCAATCAAGAACGAATCGATTGTGTAGTCACATGGGCAGTCGTCCACGGGAACGAATGTCTGTCAATTGCGGCATTATCTCCCGCAATAGTAGTTGGTCAGAGGCAAGCAGATGAAGTCAAGTGAGACTTGTTGGCTTCAGTAGACGATCTATTGATGTACCAAAGCAGCCCAGTCCTGCGGTACATTGACCTTCGAAATGCATCCACGCTCACGCCTTTTTTTTTGGCCAAACTTTTGATGCCCACAATAGACCAACTCCTACGCTGGAATCTGTATGCAAAGCGGAAGGCGGGTGGTGTTGGCATGGATGCCGAGCTTGCTTCAAACCTGGCGGTGATTCCGTTTTGCCCCTTATCTTTCCAGGACCGCATCAGCGGTTTCATCCTCAGACTACTGGTCGGCACAGACATTCCACGAAGAGCTCTCTCTCCTTATGTTCCGTAGATCTTTGTCCGTAGATTTTACCGTGTCTCATTTTCCATGGCATAGCTGCGTGCTGCTCACGCAGCGAAGCGGTCTTCGGTTTTTTTTGGTCATGAAACCAAGGTCGAATTGTTATCGGGCGGTAGTGGCGGAGTCACTGACAGACTGCAGAGTCAGATTGTTCCAGTAGTCAGAGCAGGTCCTCTGGATCTGCTGTCGCGGTCTGCTGGAAGCGCTCAAAAGCGAGGCGAAAGGGCTCGGCCGCAGTTCTACTGTGCTTGCCCGAGATTGTGCAACGCCTCCTCGCCCACCACCGAAAAAGGCGTCGATCGTAGTCTGGTTCGATTGCGCGGCGTGCGGTATCTCCGCCTCAGGGACCTCGTCGGTCATCTCGGCGTCGGCTTCGTCCACGGGCAGGCCGTCTTCACCAAACGGAATCACGTCCGACATGGGCATCGCCTCGTCGAGATGCAGTCGTTGGGCCTCGTACAGTTTCTTCAGGGTGTTCTCGTGGATGGTCTCCTCGTCTGGCCGACCGTCGCGATACCTCTTGCGCGTCCGGCTGTTGAGATAAGGCACGGCCTTGACTCTGAGGAAGTCGTAAGGGTTCGCGTCGCTGTTGGATGAGATCGTGCTGGTGGAGGACAGAGGGGACGACGTCGTCGAGGGCGTGGAGGGAATCATGGTGTATGGTTGCAAATTGTACATGTCCTCCTCAAAGGTGGAGGCCTTTCGTTTGCTCATGCTTGCTGGGGTTTCTATCGCTGTGCACAACTAGTAGATTGTGGTTGTAGGAACGAGGTACTTGGGGTAGAGAGACGAGCGTTTTGTGAGGAGTGACGCGTGGGACGAGCGAATAGCCACTATACGCGTCGGAAGCGCGCGAAGAAATGGGGGTGGCTGGTAAGAGCTTCAGGCGTCCAATCGAGACAAGGACTGGTTTGCGCGGATGGAATAGCTCTCTGCACGAGGTACAGAGTAGAGATACAACAGAATTGATACACTGTCTAGGAAATGGACACTGGCAGAATATTATGATGAGGCAATTGAACAATTCAGAGCGCGAAGGGCGTTTGATGACGAGGGTACAGAATGGAACCATGACCACAGAACAGAGGCGCTAAAGGATCCCCGCACACGTCTGAGCCACGAGGTGAGGATGGCCTTGGTGACCCCGCTTGGGACAACTTGGGCTTCATCCCAGGTGGGAGATCATCGACCACTCGCCAACCACAACTCTCCAATAACTTGTGAAGGTGTTTTGACATCTTACTCCTCGCCTCATAGTTCTCTAGTTTCCTCCTGCCAAGATGGCCGTGAGAGAAGCCTCTCATGCCGGGTCGTGGTACTCTGGCAATGGCCGACAACTGGCAGCCCAACTCGACCAGTGGCTCTCACAAGTGCCCGAGACAGGCGTACTTCCTGGCGTCGACAGCTTGCCAGTGCCCGGAGCCCGAGTGGTGATATCTCCTCACGCAGGGTACGCATACTCTGGTCCCTGTGCGGCATGGGCGTACAAATGCCTCGACCTGTCCAAGGCCAAACGCATCTTCATCCTCCACCCGTCCCATCACCACCACTTGAGCACGGCCGCGTTGCCCGTCGTGGACGCCTACGAGACCCCTCTCTCCAGCACGCCTCTCCCTCTCGATCATCAGACTATCCAAGAACTGTCCGCTCTCTCTACGGTCGTCCAAGGTCGCACGGTCAAATTCACCACCATGTCTCAGGCCGTGGATGAGGCCGAACACAGCGCCGAGATGCAGCTGCCGTACATCCACCGTCTCCTCCAAAAGCTATACCCCGGCAAGCCCGAGTCCTCATACCCCCCTCTCGTCCCCATCATGGTCGGAGGGACGAACCCTGCAACGGAGGCTGCGCTGGGAAAAATGTTGGCTCCATACATCGCAGATGAAAGCAATGCCTTTGTCATCTCGTCGGATTTCTGTCACTGGGGGAGTCGGTTTGGCTATACGTACTACCTCCCCGACGCACCCAGCCCGGCTTTGTCGCCGCTCACACTTCCCAATGGCGTGCGAGGAGAGTCGACCACGGGAAAAAAATCGGTCAATGAAGATGTACACAAGATGCCCACACTGGGACTTGGTCATAATCTAGGCTCGAGGAATTCGGTTCCCAAGGACGGACCACGGATATTTGAGAGCATCGCACACGCTGACCGAGCTTGCATGTGCGCCGTCGCCACGGGAGAACATTCAGAATTCCTCCGTGTGCTCAAGGAAACCGGCAACACCGTCTGTGGGCGGCATCCCATCGGTGTATTCATGGCTGGCCTTGAGGAGGTGGAGCGGCTGGAGCGGGAGAAGGGTGGTGAACCGGGGGACCGCAGACGGTTCAGGTTCATGCGGTACGAACGAAGCAGCGACGCCGAGACAGTCAGGGATAGCAGTGTCAGCTACGTGAGCGCTTTTGCGGTCCTATGAAGCTTGTACCCCATCGTATCGGCCGCGAGTCGACCACCGCCAACACAATCAAGGATGCTCTGAAAGCGGATGAGGTGGAGACGTACCGCATCAGTCTTGCAGAGTTCTGACACGCGTTCCGCACGCAGGGTGTATAGTTGCTCGTGTCAGCCTCTACTCGAGGAGATGGCCTACCCCGCTCCAAAGATGGAAAGGAGGATTCGGGCATTTAGCCGGGTCAGAGGGTCAGAGGGTCAGCAACGGGCGCAGGGCTATCTTTTGCCTCCGGGGAGCCGAATTCCTTAGCATTACGACCGGGAAAGTTAGAGAGGGGGAGGGAGAAGGGATACGCAAACGTGAGGGATCCAGCGTAAGGCTATACCCGGTTTCTGGAGAGGACTCACGCTGGACCGTCGAGGCGAATGTAGTCGTTTCTAGCTCCTGTCGGTTCTGCACGATATACTTACGATGGGAGGCCTGAAGAGCATCAACATGGGTATAGATAACGGTGGAGGGTAAACATGCAGATGGCATTTTGTACCCAAGCGGATATGCGAATCCGAGTCCGAGTCCGAGAACCAGGGGTCCATTCTTGGCCATTACTAGATACCTGATGCCTCGGTGGGATGCAACTTCGCCTTCGTCCTTCATCTTTCACATATCGTGTTAATGGTGGCATGGTGGTCAAAGAAAGAGTCCCGAGTCCAGGACCAGATGCGAGTAGAACGTGAATAAACACCTCCCCAGCGAGCCAGATCCCCTGCCAGCCTGCCAGCCTGCGACCCTTGCCGGTCCCAAGACTTTTCCCCCGCCTTTTTGCCAGATGGGGAAATCAAGGACAAAAGTGATCGTGGATCAAATAGATCGGACAGTTCTTTAATTAGGTGCCAAGCCAATACCAGGAACTATGATGGCATCGGTGGGACTGAATGGGAGAGAGGATGGAATTAAAAAGGAAAAAAAAAAACCCGCCATCCCTACCTAGGCAAGTAGGTAAACAGGCAGTATAGGAAGAGGTAGGGTGTGAAGAGATAAGTGGTTGATCAATGATCATGACATGACATGACATACTTGAAAAAGACATGGAAAAGACACCCGCAGAGACAGCATGGAACGAAATACCGGTGAAAAGGGACGAGGCGATGAGAGAGTGTGCGCCAAAAAATGATCAGCCTGGTGAGCTAAATGCCCATACTACATACCACTTACTACACGCTGCATACCCAAGACATTCCCCGCGCCATGGCAATGGCAATGATAGATCGAAAATGGAAAATGGAAAATGGCAAAGAGAAAAACCCCCTATCTACAAGGACAAGTGCGCTCTTGGTAGATTCTTGGTGTTTTCTCGGTAAGAAATAAGGCAGGGTAATGTGACTGCCATAAGAGCTGTTTCAGACGTCAGACCTCAACGTCGCGTAGCTAGACGAAGTACATTGAGTGACGAGGTTAGGGGGTTCTTACATCTGCCGAGCCCGTCGATGAAGTAAGGACCTAATCACCGAATATACCAAGTCCCCTTCACACAAAGTTGTGGTCGTCGATAATGGCCATTGTCCAAGCCCCAAGACCTAAGCGCCAAAGAAAGCCCAAGCCCTTGGATTGGACTTGGGAATGAGATGGGACTTTCCAAGAGCCTCCGTCCTCTCCCATAATGCCGCAGCATCTTCTGCATCACATCACATCACCCATTCTCGGCGATCTTCGATGTCCCAGGCGCCGGGTGGCGCCAATCACTTGGCACCAAGCACATTGGGGCCTTCTCGAAACGAACGGCCAAAAGGCTTGGGCATGACGACAATGTGAAAATGATACCAAACTTTCCCATGACATTCGAAACCTCTCCAAGCCTCCAGAAGAATAGAGGACCAGAAGATCAGATCAGACGATCATCAGTTGCCCATCATGACGTTTTGTCCCTTCTTTTCGCAGCCATCGTTTTGCGTTTTCTGGAAAGCTCCGCAACTGAGAGCAATGAGACGAGCCACATTCACACCACACCACACCACAATTCCATACTCGTAGGCGTGTCACTCTCGGCGATGCAGGTACCATGTAAAACGAAAACGGTGACTCTCAACAAGGAAACATGGCATTAATTGTTTTGTATCTGAGCGCAAAAACGACAGAGCAATTTTTGTTGTCTCGCCAGCACCAGAACTGTCCCAAGAACCAAGCAAACGCAGATTGGGGTATATCCAAAGAGACGTAGCGACTTTGCTTTGCCCGATTACCCAGTCCAGTACAGTTACAGTCCAATACCACCACCCCCGCGCCCACCACCAGCCAGTAGCGTTGATTCAATCATCATGCCTGCTCTCTCCGGCGGCTTGCTTGCTCTCGTACTCTTGTGACATCAATAGAAAATTTCTGCAAGTAGTCTTTCGCGCGTGTCTCCGCAGCCCCCAAACGTGTGTATCATGTGCGCGGAATATCGATCGCAGTAACGATTTGTGGTAAGAAGCACCTGTGCAGATCGGTCGCTTACACGGAGCTGTCGGCCTTGTCCTCGCGGCGAGCTGCTCGGCCCTTCTCGGACCAGGGGAAGTGGAGGACGGGCACGATGAAGAAGCTGTTCGAGGTATCGGCAATACCGGCGAGGGCGTTGTACCAGGCCAAGAATGCTGCAAGGATGCCAAACGCACCGCCGGCACGGGTCAGACCAACGTGGGGTTCGCCGTTCTCGAGGACCAGGTACGAGCAGCCCAGCATCAAGAAGGCCAGGTCGAGGGTGAAGAACAAGAGGAAGAAGGCCACGGTGGACTTGAGGGTGCAGATGAGGAGGATGAAGGTGAAGATAAACCAGCCCTGTAGTTGTCTCAGTTAGAAACTGCGCCGAACCTGCAAATGCGATCGAGAACCGCTTTACTCACCATCAGATAAAAGCCGAGACAGTCAGTCAGGGCTTTGGCGTTCTGGCTTTCAATGATTGTAGATTCGATCTCAAAGCCGCCGGGGGTGAGAATGATGGCAAAGGAGATCCAGAACCCGCCGTATGAGGACAAAGCGGTAGCACCAAAGGTGTTGCCGACGGCCATTTCCCTTGGGGTTGCTGTTAGCGAGGTTCGATCAAAATGCCAACCAGCAAAACTTACCACATGCCAGCGAGGAGCTGAACGAGGCCACCATAGCCAAAAGCGAGAGAAATGATAATAGCAGGAACTTTAACGTTTCGAGTGCCCAAGTTGATCAAGCTGAGGACGAAGGTGGTCAAGGCGAAAGCGCACAAGCCCAAAGGAGCCGGGTTGGCAAACTTTCGCTTCTCGACGCCTCTGTAGAGACCGGGTTGGAATTCACCACCAAAGGCTGTACACCCATCAG